TTTAATATAGTAAGTGTACTTATTAGCAGCTGCAAAAATCCATGTCGTGACTGATCTGCTTTCGTAAGAATTTCACTTTCCCGCCGAAGAAAAACGACTATTTTTGGAAACACTTGAGTCAGTGTTTGTTATAATAACTGATCACCGACAAACTGTTTTGGTTGGAAAATCTGCTCGCTGCTTGCTACTACAGGTGCAGGATGTGTCTAATATTACATAGAGTTGCCATTTGTCGATTCGGCCCGGAAACACGTGCACGTCAGAGCGTATAAAAAATGTTTAATTAAATGGATATTTTTTTATTACTCAGCTATAAAACTAGAACTTCCTTTCTTAGAACAAACTTAACTTTGCTGCAATTCCAACATGAATGTTCTAAGGTTTTATATTATCGGTAAGTAATGATTTATATATTTCTTAAATTTGGTTTCCATAAGTAATTGCTTGGTTATTAATAATACAGAACTTGAGTTCTTTTTTTAAAGAATAACTTGAGATATGTAGAATATTTATTTTCTTTCGTATACACTGCCTTGCTTTTTTTTTTTTCTTTTTTTCTTTTTTTTCTTTTTTCTTTTCTTTTTTTTTTTTACGTTACCATAAAATCCACTTCTATATTTAATCTCTTCTAAATAAAATCACAAATGCCACGGTGAAAAGCTATAGCAAATAAAGGCAGAAAAATATAAGAAACAGGAAACGAAATTTTATGCTTCAAGCATGAAGTAAATAGCAAGAATAAAGGCCATGTGGAACCTCTATTTTTTTACTTTTCTTTCATCGAAGTTTTCTAAATGTCGCTTCTCTTTTATTGATCGACAAGACTTACTTTCTTGAAGTCAACATTTTAAGAAATCAGTTAAATTGGTATTTGGTTGACTTTGGTTGACTTTTTCCAGTTACTTGAGTCAGACTTTTGCGAATATAGGATTGATGACTCAAGATTTTTTGCCAGTGAAAATATTATTCTTACTTTGTTTTTTGCCTATGAAAAACTTATTACCGATATATATTTATTTTGTAATCTTAGCTTTATTATTTAGCCGTTTTGAAGCGCTCTTAAGGCAGGTTTTCGTATCAAAAACTACGAGTTTCATACATCATTTTGACTTATTCCTTGGTAGCAAGAGAGTCTCCCTCCTTCGAAGATTCATCGCATGATATGAATGCCAACGAAGAAGAAACTGCCAGCAGGGAATTAGACTTACGCCGTGATCTGATGAGTAAATTAGCGAACTAGTTTGAAGTGGTGTAGTGAAGCATAACTGTTATATTAAAACTTTATATCTTCGTGGGAGTAAAAGGAATTCGAATTTGACTTAATATAGAATATGAGTTGAGCAAGTGGAATTTTGTTTGGAAGGATTCGTAAGAGTACTAAATATTATACACTGAAATTTTTAGAAGGATTATAAGAAAGACAAGCAGTCATTAGTTTTAAAACATTTGTAGATTTTAAGAGGAATTGTTTTTCAATAATGAGCAATACGGGCAAGACGCGCCAAAATACAGACCTTCGTATGAGTTTTGATCCCAATTTTCGGTTTTGGATTAACACTCAAAGCCTGATGTACTATGATAAAATGCTTGTTAAAGCGGTATTTTCAATTGGTACGAAGATGTTTTGTTGATGATTTGTGTTAGAATGTAGCCTTGTCAGGCTTTTTTATAGAAAATGTATGGGAAATAAGCAAATGAAGGCCTAAACCTCATTTTCGATTCAAATTTTTGCTTTGGGTTAACACTTTGATGCCGATTTCATCGGTCATCTACACTTCCAAACAAGTTAAACTTTCTGAATAACAAGATTTTAGCGTTGTACAACAGCCTTTCTTCAAGAAAATAGTTTTTGTCGCTCACCGCTTGAATACGAAAAGAATTCTCTAAATTTATTATTATTATTATTATTTTCAAATGAATTTAATTTTTTTTATCGATGCCTGACCCTAAGACAACCTCTGGGCTAATCTAAGTTAGTCGTATAAAAGCAAAAAGTATAAACTGTAGCATGCTTTTAGTCCGATGCGCAGAAAAAGCGCGATACGATTAACGGTTTTTCCAATCCTTAACAAGGACTTCAAGTTTAGTGAATCATAGTGAATAATTTTAAGACCAGTGTCTACGGAATGACATACAATTGCCCCTCCCCCCCCCCCCCCCCCCCCCAACCAAAAAAAAAAAACAGCAACAACAAATGGCAGATAGAGTATCACGAGCTAAGCTTGTTTTTTTTAAATGTATAATAAATTGTTTTCAAGCCGTACAAAGCTTTATTATCATGACTTAACACTTGTTTTGGTGTGCATCAATACAATAGCTCAATCTGATATCAAAAAATAGATTTATGAAGCTTCTCGAAATAATCGTTGTTATCACCGAAAAGGAATTCAGTTTTGACATAAGCTGCTTGTTTTACTTTACCGTCTGCATTTCAGAGCAGGTTTTCGACAAAATTCGAAGGTTTTTTCCCTGATATCGCTTGCAATCAATTGTCAGATTTTGAACAAACAGTTACATCTTATTCCTTTTCTCCGCATTCTTTTGTAGGTTTGCTGGCTTGTTTCGTTGGCGCTATACATATTGACGTGACTATCAACGGTGCTCAAGTAAAAAGCATTCCCGCAGGAAGTGACGTCGTCTTGAATTGTTCAGTACCACGTGACGATGCTGTAGACAGATTTGATTGGTTGAAAGGTAATCAATCAGTGTCAGATCACGTGGTCACTACGTCATTCCAGGGCGGTGTTTGGTGGTCCAGCTTGGTACTTCAGAATGTGTCTCCTATCAATACAACTGCAATGTATACTTGTCGTACATGGAAAAACAACTCAACCAAATCGACTCTTCAACGTCACGTCTGTGTTGATGGTAATTTGTTAATTTATAATAGAAGTAACCATTGGCAACAAGCCGTTTGTGAGCTGTTAGAAGTAAAAGAAAAGGAAAGGAAAGGAAAGGGAAGGAAATCGAAAAAAAGAATTAAAAGGAAAAATGAACATTACAGTGCAGAGACAATAATCGGGAGCACTTGAACAAAATTGAAGATAAAAAACTTTAGCCAATCAGGAGAGAGCAAAATCAGTATCATATTGATCTCAATGTTAATCGAAGTATTATGATCATCCGGGTGGATGTATTCAGACCGTTCTATACAATATTGACCTCAGCCAATCACGATCTCCCATTTCCACAGTTTTTGATAACATCTAAGTTTTTTCCTGGATATCTAGCTCTTGATTGGTTCAGGCTTTTGATTTCTTCGTTTTCAGTTTATGTCGTGATATTGGTCAACTTTCTTCAAGTGGTCCGGTGGGTTAGTGTACATGTGTCCGCACAGTAATTCACCTAGGTCTTCAACAAGGAATGCAGACATAAATATCCATTCGATTCAGTCCTCTATCAACTAATACTTAATCATGATATTTTCCCTTTTTCCCCGGCAGAGATAGTACTGCAAGTAGAGCCGAGAGCTTTGATGTTGGATGCTGGAGACAGTTCAGTGATAACATGCACAGTTCAAGCAAGTTGTGAGGTACCATCACTCCAGTGGCTCAAGCTGCCTGGGAACATCATCACCGACAAGCATAGGATTGTGAACACGTCCAAGACGGAGTTGAAGCTTAAACTGTCTGAAGTGAATTTAAAAGATCGTGGACTGTACTACTGCAGGGCGATCAATTCAGCTGGACGTGAAGTTAAAACACAAATGTTCTTACTCATAGTGAACGGTTAGGATCAAGTACCTTGTTTAATTTAGCTTATTTTTATATCCTCTTATTAATGGTTTGCAATCATTTCCAAGAGATTCAAATGCATACAAAGACATGGCAGACATGTGTTAACAATGGAGGCCAATAAGGAATCTTTGCTCAAAATACCACCAACATGGCCGCGATGACGTGTCTTGCAAACGGAGAATGTTCCCCCCCTCCCCCCACGAGAATAGAACGGTTAAACGACAGCCGAATCTGTGGGCCAAAACAAAGTTATTTACTCGTTTGACAAATGCAATACCTTGTCAAGTAAAAACATTGCATTGTTCCTGCCCTCCAACATGGCGGCTGTGGATCCACTTTTTAATTGTTAAATTTAAAATTGCTTTCTTCGTTGTTAACAGAAGTATTATTGCCAAACCCACCCTTGGTGACGTCACCACATCAACACGTGGATGGTTACCATGGTAGCGACGTGACACTTTCCTTCTCCACTCAGTACACCCCAAGGCCCTTGTCCTATGGTGAATGGTACTATGATGGCAAAGTCTTACACGATAGCCCCAAGTACACTATACATAATCGTTGGTTCTTCCCAGGGACAGACCGGGGACTTTTCTCGATGACAGTACACAACCTGAATGAAGATGATTCAGGGAACTATACTTTAGAAGTAACAACATCAGTAAAACCTTTCGCTGTTGGTCACGTTCAACTGACAGTCCATGGACGAGGTAAATAGACCTTTTTAGCTTTGACGTAATAATTCTTTTCCATTTCAGACCACGTGTCATTCTCTTGACAGTAAGATCCTTCRTTTGAATTGCACCTATATTTATGTGTCTTCTCATGCACAACTGTTAAACAAAGAAATTATACTCTAGGGAATGACACGTAGTCTGGAATGAGAAAACATTACGTATATGTCCAGCCAAGCTAAAAGGGTCAATTAGACCATAGCTGACGTGAATGGGCTATGGGCCAATGAATCATGAGGCGTAGCCCATTGAATCCTTAAGCTCATGAGGTCGAGTAATACTACAATACAATACAATACAATAACTTTATTTAACGCATGGTCAAAAATACACTTAGCTAAATATATAGGATATTTTGCTAATTTGCAGGTACTGCCACAAAATAAAATATAATAGATTAAGAAAATAAATTAAGTTAAAATTATGATAGAATATAAATAAGATAACATATGTCTATACATAAATATGCAATATATAGTGCTGCATTAGGGAATGACAGAGAAATAAAACATACATTCACTGATCTTTTATCTTTACTATTTTAAAACCTGGCGTAGTTCTCTAGCACGTCAAATAGACCAGTAATCGCTTAGCCAATCAGGATGCACCATCTTTAAAAGTCAGCTTGTTTGTTTATTAGCCATTCTAAGGTTGAGTGGCAAACTAGGTCGAGTTGGCATCGCAGTGCATTGTGAGCTTGTTTTAGGGACTTTCCAAAATGGCGGCCATTTCGTTCCTTAAACGGCCCCAAAATGCACTGCAATGCCAACTCGACCCAGTCTTACCCTCAACCTCGGGATGGCTGAAACTTGTGTTCTCAAATCTTGATAAGATCCAAATGAGACGCACGGGATGGTACCAAATGTCCCTACAGTCAAAGCTAAGGAAATTGAAATTTCGTGCGAAATGGAATACCCTAACAGCGAGAAACAACCACCGAGACTTTACTGGGCGTTAAATGGCGAGAAGTTGACTCCACAGTCAAAGTACAAAACACGTTCCTTACAAGAGCACAAAGGTCACCATAACACGTTGATTAAAATGGTTGTCACCATATTCAACTACAGTCAAAGTGATTGTCGTTGGTATACCTGTGGTATGAATACGTCACAAGGCGTCAAGGAGAAGCTTGTAGCTCCATGTCCAATGAACCAAATTGAATCACAAGGTTGGTTATTTGTAATCAAGTAGAGTTGGTTTAATGTGAATGTGAAACCGCACGGGGCAAGGCACGGTCACGGGACACGTCACGGTCATAACAAATCACAGCGCATGAAATTACTTTTCATCCAATTAGAGCTCTAGAAACGGAAACGTCACGTTCACGGCATAATATTTTATAGTGTTTTTGACAATCATTCAAAAGCTCCTCAAATTATATACTTGTCCGTTGGCATCGCGGCTATGTTAAAACGTAGCTTTTCTGTTCTGTAACGAAATTGATATGCTTATCACCTGAATGATTAATATCGATATAAAAGTACCGCTTTATTCATTTTCTTTAGCAACATCAGAACAGGAAATATGTTGCAAGTGGATGTGGATCCCGATCACTCTGGCGGGTGTATTCATGCTGGTTGCCATGGTGATTGGATTAACGTGCCTCTTTGTTAAACATGAAAAGATTAAGAACAACATCTTCCATAAAGGTAGGTTTTTATTGTTGCAACCATATACCACCACCACCACCACAACCGCCACCATCATCAACATGATCATCATCATCATCACCACTATAATAAAAATCATCATCATCATTGTCAACATTATCATCATAATAATTAATCATCAATATGATCAACATTATTATTATTAACAACTTGATCATCAACATAATCATCAATATCATTAGCATCAACATCACCAACATTTTGACATCATCATCGTCATTATGATTATGATCATCAACATTATCAAAAGCATCATCATCATCTTAATCAACAACATCATCGTCGCATTATCATCATCAACATCATCATCGCATTATCAGCATCATCATCAGCATCATCATCATCATCGCATTATCAGCATCAACATCACCATCTCATCACCATCATCATCATCATCATAGCATTATCATCATCATTATCATCATCATCACATTATCAGCATCATCATCATCATCATGATCATGGCATTATCATCATCATCATCATCATCATAGCATTATCATCATCATCATCATCATCACATTATTAGCATCATCATCATCATCATCATCATCAT